ATTTTCATGCTGATTTAGCATAACAGACTGTGCATGAAAGTCCTTAATTTGCTCCAGATGGGAAGGATTAGTAACAGATCCTCCAAAGCAAAGGGGAGGTCAACAGGTGAGAGACCAGGAATGCCGGGCACGGCCTTTTAAGGGAATAGGTCCCACCTCCAGCTCTCGAGGCAGGACAGGCACCATAGCATCACTGCCCCAGCGGATCCCACAAGCCCCCCACAGCTCACTGGCCTAGGGTGACCTCTTAACCTAAGACGGGCCAATCGGATTCTTTCTTCCAGAAATCTGGAGCTGAGGGCTGAGACACTGTGTGGATCGGAGCTCCCAGGTCACAGGAAGGAGGTGAGTTGGCAGCATGGCTGACCCGAGTCATGATGGAACTGAGATGCTGCTGATGAGCCCAGCACACTGGTTTGCAGGGAAGAGCAGGACGATAAGGTGGGTATTCAGAAAGAACTAGAAACGGCCCTCACATCTCAGTGCTGGTCCCTGGGAGGGCCAGCTGGACCTCACCTCCTGTTCTAGGAGCCTCCGAGCCTGCCAGCTGTGCCCCTATAAAACCCCACCTCCACCTTTACTATCACCAGCTGGCAGGATATTCTGTTTCTGGAACCAAGCGTGCTGAGAACTCCTTGGCCAGATCGACTAGGGGAGTTAACAGAGATACCGTAGAATGTCAGGTACTCAGGTCAATAGAATGGGGTGGGGTGGGGGGGCATGTGTGGAAAGCATAATATTAGAAGAATATTAACAAGTAGATTTTAAACACTTGTTCCTGGCTGGGCATGGTGGCTCACACCTATAATCCCAGCACTTTGGGAGGCCAAGGTGGGCAGATCACCTGAGGTCAGGAGTTCAAGACCAGCCTGATCAACATGGAGAAACCCCATCTCTACTAAAAATACAAAATTAGCCAGGCATGGTGGCACATGCCTGAAATCCCAGCTACTCAGGAGACTGAGGCAAGAGAATCACTTGAACCTGGAAGGCAGAGGTTGTGGTGAGCCGAGATTACACGATTGCACTCCAGCCTGGGCAACAAGAGCAAAACTCCGTCTCAAAACAAAACAAAACAAAACGCTTGCTCCTGTATCCTTCCCTATAACCATCTCCAAGGTGAAAAACCCAGTGAGCCCAGATACCAGGACAACCAGATGAATAAAGTTTGTTGAATCATTTCCCCAAGACAGTGCCCATTTTGAGATGGCCTGACCTGGAGGCCACCAATGCCTTGGCTTCAATGCAAACGAAGCAGGGCACGCTGCGTGGGAGTCCTGCCAGAGCCCTGCAGGAGTCCTCCCAGTTTGCATGCCTTGCTTACAGATGAGGTTAAGAAATGTCAAGGGGCCGGGCGCGGTGGCTCACGCCTGTAATCCCAGCACTTTGGGAGGCCGAGGCGGGTGGATCACAAGGTCAAGAGATCGAGACCATCCTGGTCAACATGGTGAAACCCCGTCTCTACTAAAAATACCAAAAATTAGCTGGGCGTGGTGGTGTGTGCCTGTAATCCCAGCTACTCAGGAGGCTGAGGCAGGAGAATTGCTTGAACCCAAGAGGCGGAGGTTGCGGTGAGCCGAGATCGCGCCATTGCACTCCAGCCTGGGTAACAAGAGCGAAACTCCATCACAAAAAAAAAAAGAAAAAGAAAGAAATGTCAAGGGAAGAGCTAAAGAAGAGTCTCCCTTCACCCAAATCCTGCTATGCTCCTGGATGCCAAGAGTTAAGAAGCTGATTCTTCGAAAGAAAAGGCAGTAAGTGTTAGGGAGAAGTTCTGGCTCTAGAGCCTAGAAACATCCCCCAAAGGGCCACCAAGACTTCCACTCCCCTTCTGGAAGTCCCTCTGTTGGCTGCCAACCACCCCTTCCCCAAAGTAGCTGGCCTGGGACCACTGCAATGAGGATATCCAATGTGTCTGGAGGCCTCTGCCTCCCAGCCCCATAGGGTGCCAACAGCAGGTGTCACACAGACTGCCGTCCTCTGCCATGGCTTTCTGCTCCTTGAATGAATCTCCTTGTGCCAGCCTTTGGTTATAGAATCTGGTTATTTAATACTCATTAAAATATAGATGTCCTTTCCTCTAGGACTCCTGTAAAATATGAAACCATGAAGAGGGCAGGGCTAGGAGTCAGAGGGCTTCATCCTGACTCTCGGGAAGTCACTTCCTCTTTCCAAGCTGCCTTGCTGGCAGTAACACTGGGAGATATTGCTTGCCTCACAGCCACATGTGTCAGACAAGACATCAAGCACAGGAGCACCAACTTCGCCCAGGAGCTATTTGCTCACCCTGAGTTATCAGGGGCACGATGGATGAACGTCTGCTGTGGGCCGGCTGCAGGCTTGGTTGCGCACCATGCACGGTCCCAGTTCAGACTCCGGCTAGCCCTACCATGTATGGGTAAGAGAAACAGGCTCTGAACAATGAAACCACCTAGCGTTATGCCTTGAAGAGCCCAGGACCACCTGACCCTCGACTTTCTGCTTCCAGGCCACCTTTCATTCCAGCGGGGAATGCAAGTTTCCCAGACACAGACCAAGAAGGCAGCCAATTTGTCACTTTCCTCAGGAAGGAACACAGGGGTGTGCAAGGCACCAATGTCCCTAGAGAAGGGTGGACTTGAGTAAAGGAGGGAGGGAGTCCCCCACAGAGCTCTCCTTTACCCCCAAGGGCTGGTGGAAGGTCATGACAAAAGAAGTCAGCTCCCCCCTAAAAATGAATACGGCGGGAGATGATCTCAAGTAAAGGACTTGAAGTTGGTGGATTCAGATTCACGTCATGGGTCTCAGAGATTTTAAAATCAATCAGGGAGACCGGAAGTGGGCACCCAGGGCTTGGAGGCAACTGTGCAGTAACATACGCCTTGATCCCTGCAAGGTGCAGGACAGCAGATCAACGTGGGAAGGAGAAGGGACCCAAGTAGGCAGATCAGGCCAGGAGAGTGACAGCAAAAGCTTGAAAAGTTAAGAGGACTCAGGAGAGGAAAAGAATTGCAGAATTGAGACCAAGAGAAAAGATGTTCAAGACCAATTTTTGCAGAAAGGTAGAGCTGTGATAACACTTGCAAGTCAGCAGAGAGAAAACAGGAGCTGCTGGGGCCAAGACAGGGCAAGGCCAGCTGCTTGCATGTGGCCAGCAACAGCACGGCCCACACAGACCAGTGCATGGCCCTCAGGCTCAACAGACATCACTATGGATGCACCTGCTGGAAAGAATCTTCCGCCTTTCACAGTCACATAGGGAAAAATTAAGCACCCACTGTGTGTGTCTGGCACAGAATGGATTGGCCAACCTACCAGTTACAGGAAAACTGGAGAAGGCCCAACTCAAGCCCAAGGGTGGTGGCAAAGACCAGCAAAAGACAGCATCACTAAGGGTTGCTGTGGAGTGGTCTCCGGGCCAGGAGGAGGAAGCAACAGGAAGTGATCAGAGAGACCATTTGAACAGACTGAAAATTAGAGTTCCACTGTAAAGACAAAAGCTTGGCCAGGCACAGTGGCTCACACCTGTAATCCCAGCACTGCGGAAAGCTGAGGCTGGTGGCTCACTTGAGCCCAGGAGTTTGAGACCAGCCTGCACAACATGGCAAAATCCCATTTCTGCAAAAAATTTAAAAAATTAGCCAGGCATGGCAGTGCACACCTGTAGTCCCAGCTACTCTGGAGGCTGAGGTGAGAGGATTCCTTGAGCCCAGAAGGTTGAGGCTGCAGTGAGCCAAGATCGTGCCACTGTACCCAGCCTGGGTGACAGAGCAACATCTCATCTCAAAAATAAATAAATAAATAAAAGTTTGAAGGTAAGATCAACAACAAATTCTGGAGATCACTGGGCTTAGGGAGAGAGGTCTAGAAATCATGACAGGTGGAAAGAACTAGCTGTGTTTAATCGGAGGAGACAAAATCCAGCCCCAGATTCTAGGAGCCGATGGTCATACCCCTTAGCACTCAGGTAACCACAGGTTGCCACCTCCCACCCAACCCACACCCCTCAGTCTTACCTACATTGCTTATTACCCCTTTCTCTACCTAGGTGTGGTCTCCTTCAGGGATGAACCAGCAGTGCCTTGCCAGGCATGCAGAAGGCCCCGCCAGTGGTTCTTAAGGTTATTAAAGACAACAATGAAGGGAATTAAAAAACCTCCCAACTCAAAATTCAAAAACCTGACAGCCCTCCAAAAGCTAGGTCGTTAGAGAAAGCAAAGATAAGAAAAATATAAGTTATTGGAGAGCAGATTTAGGGCCCAAAGTAACAAATTTTTCTAATTTACTTATTTGTCCACTGATAGAATTGATTGTCTGCAGAGGTGGTGAGCTCTCCATCACTAGAGGTAGCCAAACAAAGACTGCAGGACCATATGCCAAGAGATTGCAGAAGAGATACCTTAGATAATCTCAAAGGGCTTGCCCAACCCAAGATCCCATAAAATGAAATATATGGTAGAAAAATTACAGACACATGTGGCAAATCATGGTGCAGCAGAATTAGCAACCATCCTTTAAACTTGAAGGAAATATTGACAGCAAATAAAAATACAACTTTATGCCGTGGTTAATAACCTTACAGACCTCATGACCCTAAAAGGTAGAAAGAGCTGGAAATAGAAATAGGTTCAAGAAGGGTTTAACTGAATGAACAAATATTCAGCTCCCTGCAGGTTATCAAAGGTGTGGTGAGAGACGGGTAAGAATGACCCCCTGTAAAGGCTGGCATCGCCGTCCATAAGCATGCCTGCCTACAGAACACCCTTGTACCCACACCGCCAGCAGCAGCCCACAAGTCTGGATGAACTGCAGGTTCTTCCAAGTGCTTGCCATGGAGAAATACCCTGCACAGCACCCTCCTGCAGAAAGGGCCTGGCCTTCGATGTCCTGGACCGTTCCTGCCAGGGGAGGAGGGTCAAGGTCATGGGAACATCCAGGCCCCACTGACCAAACACTGTGCCTCCCACAGGGTGAAAGACGAAACCACAGAGGGAACTTTCTGGCCACATAGAGTCACTCACAGTCTTGACAAAGCCTGGTTGTTCTGGAATAGCAGTTCCGGTAACATGTGCAGCTGGTTTCGGTTCAGTCGCCTAAAAAAGAGAAGAAGAATTGTAAATCACCTAGACGGCCAGGAAATCCAAAGGACTTCTCAGAAAGTGCCAGATGGATTCAGAGGCAGAAGGCCCAGTGTTCAAATCCTAACAGGGTATGTGTGACATCCCAGGGAAATTACCTTCTCTGGGCCTCAGTTCCTCATTTGTAAAGTGAAGATTCCACCACCCAGCACATGGGGAGGATAGGAACAGAGTGTGGAAGCCCTCACCAGCACCTCTCCTTCCGCTCTTTCTTCCCATAGCCATCGTCATCATCACTTCACATCTGCAAGCCCTGTGTGGTTTATAAGGCACTGATTCTAACGCCATCTCCCTCTGTGAGTTGGAAACCTGACTACACTTGAAATGGGAGACATGCCCTAATGGCCACAAAGCCCCAGTTTCATCCACATTTGGCTCAACAGAGGTTTCACTTTCTTTTCATTGTTTGCTTTGGGTCTTTTTTTCAAAACGAAAATAGCGGCCAGCGGCAGTGGCTCATGACCGTAATCCCAGCACTTTCCGAGACTGAGGTTGGCGGATCACCTGAGGTCAGGAGTTAGAGATCAGCATGGCCAACATGGTGAAACCCCGTCTCTACTACAAATACAGAAATAAGCCAGGCATGGTGGCAGGTGCCTGTAATCCCAGCTACTCAGGAGGCTGAAGCAGGAGAATCACTTGAACCTGGGAGATGGAGGTTGCAGAGAGCCGGGACTGCGCAACTGCCCTCCAGCCTGAGCGACAGAGCAAAACTCTGTCTCAAAGGAAAAAAAGAAAGAAAATAGCTTTATTGATTTTTTTTTTTTAGACGGAGTCTTGCTCTGTTGCCCAGGCTACAGTGTAGTGGTATGATCTTGGCTCGCTGTAACCCCTGCCTCCTGGGTTCAAGCAATTCTCCTGCCTCAGCATCCTGAGTAGCTGGGATTACAGGAGTGCACCATCACACCCAGCTAATTTTTGTATTTTTAGTAGAGACAGGGTTTCACCATGTTGGCCAGGCTGGTCTAGAACTCCTGACATTGTGATCCGCCCACCTCGGCCTCCCAAGTGCTGAGATTACAGGCATGAGCCACCAAGCCTGGCTGATTATTTTTATCATTAATAAAAATGCATGCTTAGCCAGGCATGGTGGTGTGCACCTGTAATTCCAGCTACTCGGGAGGCTGAGGTGGGAAAACCACTTGAACCTGGAAGGTGAAGGGTACAGTGAGATGAGATCATGCCAGTGTACTCCAGCCCAGGTAACAGAGTGAGACCCTGTTTCAAAAAATAAAAAATTTTTTTAAAAAGCATGCTCAAGTGGCTCATGCCTGTAATCCCAGCACTTGGGGAGGCCAAGTGGGAGGATTGCTCAAGGCCAGGACTTGAGATTTGCCTGCGTAACAAAAAGAAACCTCATCTCTACAAAAAATACAAAATAATTAGCTGGGCATCGTAGCTCAGGCCTGTAGCCCTAGGGAGGTCTGAGGGGTCTTAGAACCAATCCCCCGTAGATACCAAAGGACAACTATATGATAAATCATCTCAGCCAAAAGCTTTCTTCCAGAGGGAAGGAGAAAATATTACTCCCATGTAGCCAGCAGTAATTGGTCTGTGGTTATCTCCTAGAAGGTCATCCTTCATCTAATATGTGAGAAAGGCCATCTCCACCACACGGGGCACAGTCATGTTCCCCATGGTACAGACAATTAAGTCAACATTCAGAGACCCACTGGAAGTTTATTTTTGAGACAGAGTCTCACTCTGTTGCCCAGGCTGGAGTGCAATGGCACAATCTTGGCTCACTGCAACCACCGCCTCCCAGGTTCAAGCGATCCTCCTGCCTCAGTCTCCCGAGTAGCTGGGATTATAGGCGCACATGACCATGCCCAGCTAATTTTTGCATTTTTAGTAGAGACAGGGTTTCACCACATTGGCCAGGCTGGTCTCGAACTCCTGATCTCATGATCCACCTGCCTCAACTTCCCAAAGTGCTGGGATTACAGGCATGAGCCACCGCACCCATAGGAAGTTTACTTTTCAGGGCAGGCTCCAAGGGAAACACTTCATTGCCTTGGGGGGAACAAAAATCAGTACAATCCTTAAAGCAATAGAAGTAGACATCAGATAGCTCCAAATTTCTTATCCTTGGTCCAGTATATTAATCCTGTATTTACACTGTCTGGTAACCACTGTTTTTCATTTTGTTTCCCCCCCACCCCCAAGACTTTCTCATTTTTCTAGCTTCTGCTTCTGAAAATTATTTAGGAGGAAAAGGAATTCAATACCTAGCTTAAAATGGAAAATTACAGGACACTAAAGGACCCCACATGGCGAGGGACATGCAGATTGCTGAGAATAACAGTAGTCGTGGCTACCGTCATCATCAGCTCTTACTAGGTGCCAGGCACCGGTGCAAATGCATTATAGCTATTACCTGATCGTGGGCAGGAAAGCAGAGTGTAAAGCCTCTTTCTTTTCAAAGTGACAACAGCACTTTGCAGTCATGCACTCACCCTCCCGACTTCCAACAACCCACCCCCCCACCAAAGGTTTCCTGCCACCACCTCGCCATGTGGCTTGGCTCTTCACAGGTGCCCAAGATAGGTTTGCTGACTTTGTTGAGTTACCCATCTTTGAAAAATGAGAGAAGAGGAATGCCAACAGGTAAGTGAGTCACTCAAGCCATTCCTGGGTGGTAGATGTGGGATCCTGAAGCTTGCCTTCCTCTACTCCCCATGGGCTGCTCCCATGGTATGATCTTGGCCATGGTACAGTGCCAGGCCGTCTCCCAGCGTGACCGGGCACATTCCACTCCTTCCCAGCTGCAGACCCACTGAGGCCACCATGTCCTGATCCCTCGCGGCCAGCTCAGCTGCACACTGCTGCATCTACACTGAAGTTTGTAACTGCTTACAAGAACCAGTTATGTCCACTCCCAAACCTGTTTATGCCAGAGGTATTTGTCATTCTAACTATGTAATTTAATTAACTATTACATAAATGAATGAACTGCTAGTGGAAAAAAGTCATCTCTATGAAAACAAAGTGGAATGCTTTAGAAAGGTTTGATGAAAGGGAAGCTGCTAATTATAAAGGGCTGTTAAATTAAGTTAAAGATGGGTGGTAGATCGGAGGTGGGTGTCATTATAAAAATCAGGAATTCTCCCCGAGATTGCTCCCAAGGCCCTTTGGAAAATCTCACTCCACCTTCCAGAAACCAAAACCAAAAATCGTAAACAAGGTATATGTGTGGGTTTAGGCGAGGCAAACAACACAGAAAGAACTCCAGTGTTTCACACCAGAGAAAGACCCTGGCCAAAAAAAGGAGGAGGAGGAAATGCACACTTATATGTTTTAACATAAAATGGAATTTCTAAGGAATGTGTAGGTTTTTTGTTTTGTTTTGTTTTGAGACAGAGTCTTGCTCTGCCGTCCAGGCTGAAGTGCAGTGGCATGATCTTGGCTCACCGCAACCTCTGCCTCCTGAGTTCAAGCGATTCTCCTGCCTCAGCCTCCCGAGTAGCTGGGGTGACAGGCACGTGCCACTGTGCCCAGCTAATTTTTGTATTTTTAGTAGAGACGGCGGTTTCGCCATGTTAGCCAGGCTGGTCTCCAACTCCTGACCTCAAGTGATCCACCCACCTCATTCTCCCAAAAGGCTGGGATTACAGGTGTGAGCCACTGCACCTGGCCAGAATATGTGGTTTTTTTAAATGACTCTGCACTTTAATCACCTTTTATGATTAACTGATGCACCACTGGTCTCCACCAACTCAGGGGGCAGCCACTGAACTGACCACTCAGGAAGGTGCCTGCAGGGCTAAAGTCACCACTCACCACTGGGGTCGTGTCTTGACCGCCCCCCAGACCCCTCTCCTTCTCCCCTCCTTCCCAGCACCAGAGGTGGAGCCAGGATGGGTCAGGTCCAAATCAGCCCCTCATAGGCAGGTCATTAACATGTATTTTGTTCTAAGTCTTTTATTTGTTTTTGTTTGTTTTTTTTTTATTATTTTTTTTAGTTTTTTGTTTGTTTTTTTGTTTTATCCTCTCTTGTTCTAAGTCTTTTGAAGAAAACAAGTGCAGCATTTGACATCCAGTCTAGCTGTGGGCTTCTCATCATTTCGTTTTCGGCCTGGATGAGGAACTCAAAAGAAAGATCGCCTTGCTTTCGTTCAGGCTGTGGGAGGGCAATGAGGCAATCATATTCTTTCCCTTTTATTCAATATCTTATTTTCTTTTTTTCTTTTTTTTTTTTTTTTTTTTTGAGACGGAGTTTAGCTCTCGTTACCCAGGCTGGAGTGCAATGGCGCGATCTCGGCTCACCGCAACCTCCGCCTCCCGGGCTCAGGCAATTCTCCTGCCTCAGCCTCCTGAGTAGCTGGGATTACAGGCATGCGCCACCACGCCCAGCTAGTTTTTTGTATTTTTAGTAGAGACGGGGTTTCACCATGTTGACCAGGATGGTCTCGATCTCTCGACCTCGTGATCCACCCGCCTCGGCCTCCCAAAGAGCTGGGATTACAGGCTTGAGCCACCGCGCCCGGCTCAATATCTTATTTTCTTTAATATAAAAATGAAAGGTGAGGTATCAGGTCATCTTCATTAAAAGCTCAGACTTTGAAGGCAACATGATCCGGGTTCTAGTCCTCCCTTCTGCACAATTAGGGACAAGTGACTTAACCTCTGTGCACCTCTGTTTCTCATCTGTGAAATTCCACTTAGAGCAGTGTTGTTTTAAGGATTAAATGAGATACTATAGGGCAAAGAGATTACCTGGGGGCCTGGCATAGAGTGGTGATAGCTATAATCATAATTATCAATGTGTCATAAGAAAACCCATTAAAAGAGAAAAACACAAATAATAAGATTAAAGTTACCAATAATTCACCACTCACTATAATGAGATTTAGTGGTTCCAATTGTCTTCTTCCTCCTGTATTCTATCCACATGCAAATTGATTTTAGTAATACAGTTGTCATGTTTTACCTTTTCCACTTAACATTGTATTTTCAGCACATTCCCGTGGCCTTAACTGTTCTTCAAAAATGTAATTTTATATCTTATGTGTCCACTAGAATGGGTTTCCAATTTTTTTCTATTTAAATAATGTGCAATGGCAGGGCACAGTGGCTCATGCCTGTGTAATCCCAGCACTTTGAGAGGCAGATCATGAGGTCAAGAGACCAAGACCACCCTGGCCAACGTGGTAAAACCCTGTCTCTACTAAAAATGCAAAAACAATTAGCCAAGTGTGGTGGCGTGTTCCTGTAGTCCCAGCTACTTGGGAGGCTGAGGCAGGAGAGTCGCTTGAACCCAGAGGCGGGGGTTGCAGTAGCTAAAATCATGCCACTCCAGCCTGATAGACATAGCAAGACTCCATCTCAAAAATAAGTAAACAAATAAATGATGTGCGATTAATACCCTGAGTTACAATTTTTAGCCATGTCTCTGATTATTTCTTTAAAATAAAATAGACTTTCTGGTTCAGAGCATGAACTTTAGTACTCTTTTTTTTTTCTTTAAGGACACAGCTGCAAGGACTCTTAACACCTGCAGACAAACCCCTTTGCAGAAGGGCAAGACTGACGACCGCGGTGAAATGAGTGCCCGTCCCCCACCCCACCTCACCCCACCGTGTTCCTTTTTGTCATTGTTGCCAAACTGAAATGCAAGAATTGATCGAGACCCATTTTCGAACTTAAAAGCCCTGTTTGGCGATAAACCATGTGAATCAGAACAGGCCTCCGCCTTCCCATTTCTGTACTGTGTGGCCCTGTGCACCTAAGACACCAATCCCCAGGGGCTTCCCCGATGGGTTCCCTTGGCACGTCAAGGCTTCCTTTAAGGACACACAAATCAATGGACAGTGGTTATGCCAGGATGAGATGACAGGAAGAAATTTCACTTCCTCTGTAAACATTTAGCCATCATGTATGTTCAGCGAAAAATAACAGGGACAGTTGCATTGAGAACATGGGGTGGGGACCCACCCCAGGTGTCTTTGTGACCATGCCCTGTGACCACTTTCACAGCTGCAGCTACTCCTGGCTCCTTCACCTGACGCAGGCAGGCTGGGCATGGGGTCCCCTCCCCTAAGCACCCCTCATCCCCAGCAGCAGCTTAGCCTGCCAGCTCCCTCTCTTGCCAGTGCCCCGCCCTCCAGCCTGCACCCCACCAGGACTCACAGCCGCTCCAGCTCCTTCATGTCATCAAAAGCCCCACGTTCCACTGCTCCAATCTGGTTCTCCATCAGCTGCCTGGGGAAGCAAAGAGACAAGGACAGCTACAGGGTGTGAGACAAAGGCTGCTAGAAGCAGTGGGCACGACAGAGGGGCAGAGGCAAACTCTGCCAGGGCAGTGTTGGCAAGGGAGTGAGATAGGAGCCATGCCCAAGCCTCACACAGGCCCACGCCTGGCCGGAGCCGACACAATTTCCTCACACCTTTGCAAATTCCCCAACACGGGCTCCTCAGGCTCTCGGCATCTTACCTCACCACAAAACCCACTTGCAGCCCCACGACCCTCCAAAGCTGCCTGCCAGGGCAGAAGTCCACGGGGTACCCAAGCACCAGGTCTCAGCTCCAGTCAGGCTCCAGGGAGCCGGGCCCAGCAGCAGGCAGCTCAGGCTGGCTTGAGCTGCTGGCGCGCGTGCCCTGGCCTCTTGGGGCCCTGAAGGCCTGTGTCCAAGGGACAGAGCAGGGGGACTAGCCAGTATCAGGGGGAGGGGAGCCTGTGCCAAGTGGGCAGAGCCCACACAGGCAGCAACACACTCTACAATTTGCAGATAACACCCTCTCTGCCTGCACCCCACCCTGCCTGGCCCCATTGCTGAAGAAAAGAGTGGGGTACCCACGCCAATCAAACCACCTGGCTCTGTGGGACTCTGCGTCCCCTGGCCGCCAACGTGCCCTGAAACCCAGAGCATCCAGCTGGTGGGGCAGCATTTCTCACCAACAGATTGACTGTTGCATGATAACTTTTGAGATAGTCAAGTATGTTTGTCCCCCTGCATCTGTCCCTCTCCACCCATGAGCAGGTGGCTTGCGTGCCCCTGCATGGGCCTCAGATGATGATGGGGGCAGGGCAGAGGGAGCCGCCACCAGGCACTTCCCTCTCTCTGCTTTGTTTCCAAAAGCCTGAAGTGTGAGAAGTGCCTGCTGGAGGCCTGGGGGCAGAGAGGAGGAGAATCCCGGGAGAGAGGATGGGCTTCCCACAGCAGACAGAGTCTGGGAGTCAGAAGGGACTCCCAGAGCCTGGGAAGGCAGAGGTCGGGGGTTCTGGAGCAGATCCCTGCCCAGTGACCCATCAGCTCTGACCTCAGAGACGATTGCTCATGAGGTCCCTGATCCTCCAGAAACTCTCAGAACTGCGGAGCTGGGAGTTCTGAAAGAATGAGGTCCTAGGACCCTTGCACTCCCCTGGAGCACAGGGCGATGGACCTGATGATGAGTTCAGACTCAAGACTCAACATCACCCCACCCGACACCCCTCAGGATGTCTTGCCAAGACTCACTCCACAGTGGAGCAGCCCAGCCAGCCCACCACCCTACCACCCACAGCCAGGGCCCTGCCCAGGACCTCCGTGACATTCTTGGGGGTGAGATGGGAGGGAGCGCCCCATACTCACAGCACCCGCAGCTGCTTGAGCCCTGCAAAGTCATTCTTATGGATCCGAGTGATGTTGTTGCCATTGAGTTCCCTGGAGGAGGAAGGAGAGAAGGAAGCAGTGAGGTGACCCAGGGGGGCCCCCAGGCCAGGGTCTCTGCTCCAGGCGCCCTCCCCGCCTGGCTCGCCAGTCATCTCATCAGTGGGATTGGGGGCTTCTGTGAGTTGAGTCTGTATCAAGGCCCAACAAGCTGGGCCCTCTACCCAGCAGACATCCAACCAACTGGAGCCTTAGGTGCAGGATGCACCGCTGGGAGTGCTATGGTTTCCAAAAATGTGGTTTCCGCCCTGATGCAGCTCAGTCTAGTTGGAGATGAGACATTCACCCAGGGAGGAATCTGGAAACTAGTCAAGGAGAGAGGCTATTCAGGCAGAATCCTCGCTGAACCTCAGTTTCCTTATCTATAAAATGGGGGCAACAACTGTGTCTACCTCATAGGGTTAGCAGAGGTATAAGCAAGTAAAGGGCATCGCCTGCGCTTGCAAAAGGCCCCCATGGGGACACCAGTGTTATCATCTAGTGGCACTGGCTCCTGTGAGCTGTCCGCATCTAAGCAGGAGAGAGCAGGGAGGGCAATGCAGTTTTAAAGGACTGAGGAAGCGGGACGCAAGCTGAAACCCACAAGACAGGGAAGAACTGCACACGACGACAGGGAGGGAGCAGACGCGCCCCAAGGACCACACTGCATCAGGCCTGGAGTAGCTGAGGGTCGAAGCGGACAGCAGACAGGCAGAGAGTTGGGAGCTGTGGGAAGCAGGGATGGGGATCACAGAAGGCCGGAGAGTGCAAACAGAGGAGAAACCGGGGCAGGAGGAGGCTCTGGGTGGGGAGGATGGGGCCCTGCCAGGAGGCCAGTCGTGCAGCAGTGAGCAGGAGGGCAGGCCAGGAAGCGAGCCCCTCCCCTACCGTCACTGGGCTCCTCGGGCCAGACCGACAGCTCCTCCTCTCCCCCATGCTGGGCTGTCTGGCCCCTCCTTCCTTCCAAGGCCACCTTGGACCCACCTAAAGAGCTGTCTGCCCAACCTAGCCTCACTCGGTCTCACCAAAGCAGGCCATCCCAGGAGTGAGGCTCTCCCCACCCCAGAGTCTCCTCATGGAGCCCCACACAGCAGAATCTCCCTCAGGCCTCACTCCAGCTGTTCCCTGTGGCATCTGTCTCCCTGGGGCAGCTCCCCGCTTGCCTCCTCCTCTTCCTTAACACTGTCACCAGTGTGCTTTGCAGCAACCTAACTGGACCTACCCCAATACACTCACATGCACAGGCATGCACATGGGCACATGCATGCTCACACATGCACACACACACACACACACACACACACGCTCCATGTTCACCTGCAGCCCAGTCTTCTCACTTAGCCAACTTTTGTCAAAAGTTCTGGGTGTAGCCATGAGCTCAACCCAAGGCCAAGCTACTTTGAGAAACAAAGTCTCTGTCCTCCAGGTGTTTAGAAAGTGTTCGGTCTGGGTGACGTTCTAGGGTTGCTTCCACTAAGATCAACAACACACGGATTCCTTTTCTGCATCGTCCAGGATCCAGGCATTACACACACCCTCCCACAATGCAAGAAAGTGGTAAAACCATATTCATCCTTCAGATGAAAGTGGCTCTGAGAGGCTAGGTGTTTTCCCGAGGTCACCTGCTGGTAATTGACAGAGCAGGGATCTGAACCCATGGCCATCTGACCTGCTGGCCCAGGCTTTTTCTACCAGGTCAGGCTGTCTTAACACTCAACACATCTTCCCGATGCCCTTCCCTTGGGCCTGGCTCCTGATCCTCAGAAGCAGCTGCAAAAACTCATTCCCTGCTCCTTCCTCATCGCTTTCCTAACAGGATTTCTCAGAAGGGCCTGAGGCCTTTCCATGCTAACACAGCCACTGATGAGAGCCCGGACTGAGCTGCCTCCCTGCCGCAAGGACACCTTCTCCGAATGAGATGGCTCTGCTCAATGTAAAGATTGTATTTCAATGAACTTAATATTATTTCCAGAAACAGCCCCACTGTGTTGTACCCCAGCCTGCTCCCTCTGCACCCTGGCCTTTCTTCAAACACTGAGAATGTCATCATGAAGCCCTTTAAAAGTGGTTCTCTTCCCAAGCAGGGCTGGTTTTCTTTGCGCTGAAATGTTTATCCCCAAACCTAAAACCACAAGGCATTTTTGGTGGTTGTTTTTCCTATTATAAAAATATGTCAGCAATGATTATAAGAGCAACAATCTTAAACAACTTAACCAGATGCTAGTAAAGCCTTGCTTGGTTGAACTCAGCACATGTGCAAAACTGAATACCATGCGGCCATTTAAAATTGTACGGTTCTGGCCAGGCGCGGTGGCTCAAGCCTGTAATCCCAGCACTTTGGGAGTCTGAGGCGGGTGGATCACGAGGTCAAGAGATCAAGACCAACCTGGTCAACATGGTGAAACCCCGTCTCTACTAAAAATACAAAAAATTAGCTGGGCATGGTGGCACGTGCCTGTAATCCCAGCTGCTCAGGAGGCTGAGGCAGGAGAATTGCCTGAACCCAGGAGGCGGAGGTTGCGGTGAGCCGAGATCGCGCCATTGCACTCCAGCCTGGGTAACAAGAGCGAAACTCCGTCTCAAAAAAAAAAAAAAAAAAAAAAATTGTACGGTTCTATTTGTCTTGACAACAAAAATTGTGCATGACACAGAATGTGGGAAAAGGTCACAAGACAACCCTTTTCTATGAACCTGCTTGATACGGTTTCGCTGTGTGCCCACTCAAATTTCATCTTGAACTGTAGTTCCCATGATCCCCATGTGTCATGGGAGGGGCTTGGTGGAAGGTAATTGAATCATCTAGGCAGATCTTTCCCAGGCCGTTCTCCTGAGAGTGAATGAGTCTCATGAGATCTGATGGTTTCATAAAGGGCAGTTCTCCTGCACTTCTCCTTGCTGCTGCCATGTGAAGAAGGGTGTGTTTGCTTCCCCCTCTGTCATGATCGTAAGTTTCCTGAGACCTCCCCAGCCCTGCGGAACGGTGAGTCAATTAAACCTCTTTATGAATTACCCAGTCTCGGGTATGTCTTTATTAGCAACATGAGAACGGACTAATACACTGCTTATGTGGAAACACATAAACACACACACAGGAATACATGTATACGAATGAACACAGAATGAGCTGGGGGCTTCATGCCACATTTGTAATGGCTGCTGTCACGGCTGAGTGGTAGGACTCAAGGTGACCTTAGTTTCTTTTTTATACTTTTCTGCAATGTTTTCATCTTTTTAAAGACACCTATGTCTTTACAAACCAACATAATATCCAACATAAAATATCCATAATAGTCAACATATAAATAAAAATTATTGCATTTAAAAAGAAGTACTATGCATATTACTGAATATTTTTCAATTTCCCAAAAAAATTTTAAAAAGTCATACATAATCCCATCACTAAGAAATCACTCCCGTTAATGTTCTGAGATATTCGCCCTCAAGCCTGTTTTTTTTTAATACAATTTTTATATAGTTCAGATAAGTCAACAAATGTTTATGGAATACTTACTATGTGCAAAGCGTTTTTGCAAGGTTCTGAAGATAAGAGGATGAATGAGACATACATGTTACCCCTCCTTCTACAACCTCATACCCTGTGTGTTCTCCGCTTAAGATTCCGATTGGCCAGCAAGTGTCCCTTCATTTGGATATATCAAGTTACTGGACCACTCCCTCCCTGATTCCCTGTGACTGGAATCCCTGCGCTGTTTAGATATTGTCCAGTTATAAACAATATTTCATAAAGCTTGATGGGCATTTGGGAGGAATACATTCCTGCAAAAGGAATTACTTGGTCAAAGGTCATGAAAAATCTGACTAGTTTTACATATCATTCATCACTCATTCCTTTTCATGGCAACAAAAGCAATTGACTATGACAATTATTCCCATTTCACAGATGACAAAACTGAGGCAAAGACAAACACTGACTTATCTGAACAAGGCAGGACCCAAAATGGAACTCAAGAATCCCCGAGGATGGAAATCCCACTAAGGTGGGGCAGAGGTGGAAGGGACATTCTGATAACAGCCCGTTAGCACACCTCTCTGCTCACCCTTTTGTACCAGCCCCCACAGTGCAGGTGCAGGGGTGCATTCCTGGGTCCAGCCCCTCCTCCTTACTTCCTATACCCCACTCCACAACTGCACAAGACTAAAGATGCGCCAGGGGGAAAGACACTGGCACAGACAGCGAGGCAGGCACAGCCTCTCCCTTGAGGTCCTGCTTCCAGGCCAGAATGTCCAAAGAGGCCCAAGCCCACCCCAGCCTGCCACCATCAGCCTTGCTCTCTAATGCAGAGCTTGATGCCTCCTCTCAGGAAAGAGCCCCTCGCCCCAGCCTGAAGCCTGCGAGCTCTCACTAAGCTCCCAGGTCTGAGGGCTGCTGCCTAAGGAGGCATTATTGCCACTTAGCCTGAGAAAGTGACCTCCACTGGCTAAGCCACCCTCTCACCCCCCAGGATCAAGTTCACAGCCAGCCACTTCCCCTGAGCAGAGGTTGCTAGAATAAGGCTAGGAGGACATTCTTCTGCCGCATCTGATTCCTCCAATAGGAGGTTCTCAATGTTCCCATGGAGCCCCCTCCCCCAGTAAGCTGCTAGGGGGAGACTGGAAGATGCTCCTGGGACCTTAAGACCAGGGCGGCCAGGGGAGTGGGGCCACTGGGGCAGGCCCCAGCCTCGGGTCTGAGGAAGATCCCAAGATCCGGAGCCCACCTGGGCCCCCTGCGGTTTTGCCACCAGAGCCCACACCTCTTCCTGGGCACCTACTGTGTGCAGGCTCTGGGCCTGACCCTAAGCATCCTTCATCTCGTTTCACCCTCATCTTGCAACCTATAAGGGGAGTCATATGCTCTCCAACTTGCTAAGGAAGAAACTGAGGCACGTATGCATGAAGCAACTTGCATAGTGCCCACACGGCTAATAAACGGTGGGACCTGGATTAGCCCCTGGCCTGTGTGATTCCACACTGTCTCCTACGTCACAAGTTCTCCTGTTGCTGGACTCTCCCTC